CAGGTAAGAGAGACATCCTGCTAAGCACAGACCCCTGTACAGGTAAGAGAGACATCCTGCTAAGCACAGACCCCTGTACAGGTAAGAGAGACATCAGGCCCCTGTACAGGTAGGAGAGACATCCTGCTAAGCACAGGCCCCTGTACAGGTAGGAGTCCTCACCTTCAAGGGAAGTGACACACAGGTGAGATCATACAGCTCTCACAGAACGCCCCACACTGCCAGCGTCACAGGAAGAAATCTTTCTAAATGGTAATTTTTTTTGAGATTATAGATACATCATTTTCCTCTTCCCTATCATCCCTTCAAACCCTCCCATATATCCCTCCTTGCTCTCAAATCATGACCACTTTATTTTCATTAACACATGCATGCATGCACACATACATACATACATGGATAAATGAATAAATGCACCCTTCTCAGTCTAGAATGTAACTTTTATGTACGTGTTTTCAGGGCTGACCATTTGGTGTGGGATGACCAACTGTGTGCTCTTCCCTGGAGAAGACTCTTTCTCCTGCACTCTGCATTGCCTAATTGCTTGTAGATCTTTTTATAGGGTTGAGACCTCATGAGTTCTCCCCCTTTTAGTTAGCACACCCATTGGTGTCATTCTTGTTCAGCTCATGCTTAGGCAGTCTTGTTGGCGACAGAAGGACTACTCTGAAAGTCCTTCTAATACCACTCTAATACCAAAGCCAGGTAAAGAAACATCAAAAGGAAACGACACCACTATCCCTGATGAATGTAAACTCAAAAAATTCTCAGTAAAATGTCTGCAAACAGAGTACTGACACATGAAAAAGATTATCCACCATGACCAAGTTGGCTTCATCCCTGAAATGCAGAGATGGCTCAACATATGCAAGCCAATAAATGTCATAAACCACATAACTGGACTTAAAGACAAAAATCACCTGGTTATCTTAACAGATGCAGAAACAGTCTTTGACAAAATCCAACATGCCTGCATGATGGGACTACAGGGGATATACCTCAACATAATAAAAGCTATATATGAGAAACCCACAGCCAACACCATCCTAAATGGAGAAGAGCTTGTAGTCAGGAATGAGCCCTGGCTGTTCACTCTCCCAACACCTCCTCCATATTGGGCTCAAAGCATTAGCTGGAACAGTGAGGCAAGTGAAGGAAATCAAGGGAGGAAAGAGTTAAACAATCCTTGTTTACATGTATTAGAAATGTCAGAGAGTCTACCAGGAATTCTCTAGAAACAACACACAAATCCAGGGTATGTTTTAAGGAAGGGCATCATTCTTTAAAAACGTGAAAAGGACAAGCTGAGGAGATGGCCCAGTGGGTCCAAGTGCTTAGTGTACAAGTGTGAGGATTTGGGTTCAATTCCCAGAGTTTACATGTGAGCCAGATATGTAGGGCAAATGTCTGTAATCCCAACACTGCTACCAGGAGGTGGGAGGTGGGGATGGGAATCCCCAGAGGCTTTTGGGACAGCTGATCTTGTATTCAAAGCTAAAGTAAAACAAGGCCTTGTCTAAACTGAGGTGGACACACGCACACACACACTTCATTCTTTATTTCAGTTCTCTGAGATACTTGGACAGACATCGAGAAAAAAGAATTTCACTGGGTTGTCACCATCACAGATATTTCATTGGGCATGCAGCCCACGTTCGTTACTGTGTTAAGCAAGGTGTGGTTGGCCCTGCCATGCAGAGGTACCAGTACATGTTAAGAACATGCTGGACAAACGGCATGGATGGGAGGGTAAAAGTTATAAAGCTGCCACTTTCCAGTCTCCTGTTTTCTAGTGCCCAGGGCCTTTGTGTGGGATATCCATAGATGCCCACGACTATGCCAGAAGATGCCGTGATTCCCACCATGTAGAGGAGGCAACTGATGCTCAGAAAGTGTGGCTAGGATGCCATCATGTGCACACATAGTAAACAGAAATGTCAGGGTGGCCATCCAAGTTGGTGAGGTCTTAGAGGGTAGTCTTTCTGGAATGGCCAATGTGTAAATTGAGGTAGGTGGGACTGGTCACGGTCACTGTTCAGATGTGTGAGGATTTCCTCAGTCCCTCTCCTCAGCAGCTGTTGGGTGACTTTTTCTGGGGAGACAGGAACAAATGCCTATCCACCCCAGATAGGGCAAAGACGACAGATCTAAGAAACAATACCACTCAAGTCTAGCCTGGTGAATTCATGAGGTTATTGGGGTTAAATACCAAAGCATAGGTGAGGGGCTACTTACAGGATTATGGATGTCTCAAAGGTAGCTGTATTAAAAAAAAATCCCACCCCAGCATTGGTGACGGCTCACAAAAGCTGGTAGTTCCACAGAAGGGTCTCCCTCTCCCAGGAAATTTTTACTGCTTATATGGCCACAGGAGAAGGCTCCTGAATTTCATAACTTTATGAATCTTTCAAGTCTCCCTCCTTCTTTCAATTCAGAGGAAATAGCTGGACAATGGCAGCCTGGGGGTCAAGGTCACCACTACCTTTCTTATGGTGGGTATGTTATGCACAATCATGAGTGCAGGCATCTGTGTGTATGCTGTGTATGTGTGTATGTGTGTATGGTGTGTATGTGTGTATGTGTGTATGGTGTGTATGTGTGTATGGTGTGTATGGTGTGTATGTGTGTATGGTGTGTATGTGTGTATGTGTGTATGGTGTGTGTGTGTGTGTTGTGTGTATGTGTGTATGTGTGTATGGTGTGTATGTATGTATGGTGTGTATGTGTGTATGTGTGTATGGTGTGTATGTGTGTATGGTGTGTATGTGTGTATGGTGTGTATGGTGTGTATGTATGTGTGTATGGTATGTATGTGTGTATGGTGTGTATGTGTGTATGTGTGTATGGTGTGTATGGTGTGTATGTGTGTATGGTGTGTATGTGTGTATGGGTGTATGGGTGTATGTGTGTATGGTGTGTATGTGTGTGTGTATGTGTAGGCCAGAGGACAGGCCAGGGTATTGGTCTTTACCATCCATGTTCTTTGACAGGGTTTGTTATTGTTGTTGTTGTTCTCGTTGGTGTACCCCAGGCTAGCTGGCCTCCAAGCTTGTAGAAATTCTCCTGTCTCTGCTGCCATCCTAACATAGACATGCTGGGCATACGGACACATGCTACTGCATTTGGCTTCACTTGGGAATTCGAACTCTAGGGATTTGAACTCACATCCTCACACTTAGGTAAAGCACCAAGGGCTCTCCATACCGAGGCCTCTCTCAGCCCGGTGACTGCGGCTCCAAAGCACCGTTATGGGCTGAAGGTATGAAGTAAAAAGCACGAAGTTCCCAAACCTCTAGACGGTGTTTGGAGACGGGGCATTTGGGAAGCAGTTAGGGTCAGAAGAAGTCTCGGGGTGGGGTCCTCCTCATGAGCTCCGTGGCCTAATTCATACAGAGGAAGAGAGAACGGTCTTTTCCCTCTCCTTGCCGGAAGGGCACGGAGAATGAAGACAACTACCCGTACAGTACAAGGAGAATGAACCGGCCGACAAGTCCTTCTTGGACTTTCAGCCTCTAAAACTGAAAGTCAGTAGCCTGTTTCAGCCACCCAGTCTAAGGTGTTTTTATGATAGCCACCTAAACGGATATACACTCTGGTTTCTCTTCAGGTTGTATGAATATTTTACCTTTTTTACCAAACTGACAAAGCCAGCCACTCAGCACACAACAGACCAGCCCCACATGTTTATAAACTTCCTCTTTTCGGTCACAGGAAACAAATGTTACAGGGAAGGAAAAAAAATGATGCAACCTCTGACCTTTGTTTGTAGTTTCAGGTTACCTTGCAGTCTGTGTGCCCAGACTACGAACATGAGATTCTCTGACAAGGGGACAGAGCTGTGTGGGGAGAAACAAGGCGGCTGGGTTGTTGGAGACTCTAGAAAACC